GCCATAATCTGGGCTAGATATGAACTCTATCACCTCTGTCAATGATGAAGTAGATTACTATATCAATCTCTGAGCTGTTGCTCATCATCGAGCGCCATATCCTTCATTTACCTTCACCTTCATTTGTCTTTTATGTTCAATAAATCCTCAATAGTTTGCCACTTCACGTAACTGGAGATGATCACCAATAGCGCGCTGTATGTCGAGAGCATGTCCATCAATAAGACCTCACGAGATGAGAATGACTCAACGTTCTCATTGAAATATCCAGCCAAAGCAGGCCACAATTAATCCCGCTCCCATATCGGAGTAGCCTCAAGATAATCCGTCAAGAAGGCGAACGTTTCACAGAGAAAGACAAATCGTTTAACGCATCAGTTGTATTCAAAATATTTTGCAGCGCACTGTTTGCTGGAATATTTATGCCATCTTAGTTTCATCGAGAATTCTGAACAACAACCACATAGTGCTTTGTCAAAATTTTCTGGAATAGAGATGATGCATACAGCGCACGAGAAATCTAAACTCAGGCCATCAACTCGCCCTGTTCATCCAGCGAAACATAGATTTAAAAAGGAGTGACCGGTTGCGGGCCATGGACTCAAATTACTGCGGCTCTGATGAAGAAAAAAGCGTAGAACGATAGGCTAATGGAACTATCTACAACCTCGTCTTATCAATGACTGAGACCGTGATCGATCGCTTTGTTCTGGTGGAATTACAGTGAAAAGGATTTCTTAGGATTTGAATGGATTCTCAACCAGTAAGGTTTCCTACAGCAAATGCTCACATAAATACATTGAAATTCGAACCACTTAGCTTTCGAATTGTGTCCTCTAGAATGGAATTGAAACTTTCATCTACTGGCGCCACTTTGATATTTCGGCTCAATAACTAACCTGTACTACGAAACACTAAGGCTTCTGCAATAGTGAAACAACGAACGAACGCTGTAAAACATTAGTATTCCATTCGAATGAACTCACTGTGCATCTGAGCGCACGAATACTTGTTCGTTACGTCAAAGTTCCCATTGGCTTCAATAATCGAATTGAACGTGGCTAGGACAATAAAGTTTGGATTTACATAGACATGAATGACTGATTCATCTGTTACAAAGAATGATGAAGCTGTCCCACTCTTTTTAGCCAAATTCTTTGGTGCCTTTCACAAAAGAGGTTGTGAGACAAATTTAATGAATGCAGAATAGAAATCATACGTTCCAGTAAGTATTCCAGTAGGAAAAAAAAGGGAATTTTTTTCGCTTCCGTTAAATGCATAAATTTGATTGCACATTTTCATTCATGCTCTATAACTGTGTTGAACTTGCTCTCTTCTATCGTGTACAGCCAGACAAAAATTTTTGAAAAATAGTAAATTTCCTTGCTGATAAAAAAAAATTTCTCAGAAAGATAGAAGGATAAAACTTTCAATGTTGATCAATGTCTAATGAATTCTCCAATCACTCGACTTCATGAAACATCGTAGAGGTGACTGAAGGCACGTTGTCCCATAAATTGACTCGCACTGGCCTATCGATGTATTAGGGCAACGATGCTGACTTTCCAGAACGTCTGGAACGAACCTGATGATTCTGATAACGTGGAAGACTTGGTGAACTGTAGACACAGGACCGAACCAACGACTACCTGGAGCGCATTGCAAGGCACCTCTAATTACTGCACTACATGCCAGTCCAAATTGAAAACAGTACTAAATTCAATTAATTTTCACACCATTCAGGACGGACGAGAATATCATCGTCAGCATTTTGGGGCAGCTCGTTTTCAGTTCAATGCATGCTTATCTACACACTTTTTCTCTGCACGGAGTTTTTTCAGTAAATTTTCAGTGACCACTTGCTAGCTTCGAAAAGGACGAGTTGAATATTTTGCTTAGTTTTTGAAAAAAGGCGCCGTGACCGAGTGATTGTGCTGCTCGTCGCAGCGCGCGTGGAGCCGAGGTCTACTCCCAATTCCTTCCGGCAGTCAACAGCAAAGCCCCATGGAACGTCACAGCCTAGATCTCCAAGGAATTGTATGGAGACTTGCTCAAGTAGTATTCTACGACGTTCAGAAGAAAACAAATGAACGTTTTGAAGTCTAAAGTACTAGTATCAACATAGTAAAAAAAACACTGTAAAGACGGTTCAATAAAGTGATTAAAAGGTGGTGTAATGAGTTATTCAAAGGGTGTCGCCGGAAAGGCCTTCAGTGCACCGCAGCAATAGAGAATATCACAATTCGTCCTCAGAGTAGTCAGTCTGTTGTTTCAACTTCAATCCGACTTTATCGTCAACGAAAGATGGAATACCACCAGAAAGACTTCTATGAGCATATTGTTAGTAGAGGAGCCCGTGTGGCGCAGTGGCGAGAGGTACTCTCCGACACACATGATCGAATGATCGATGGTTGATGGTTCAATCCTGAACGCACTGCTCACCAAACTTTCCATCCCGCCGTGGTCGCCGAATTTGGAACAAACTTGTTTGAATAGCAGTAGAGAAGCAACGGCTCAATATATCGGTGGAACACGACAAGTCATTGTAAAGGCCAGACATTCACTCAATCACCTCAAAGGAAGCTGAAAATTGAGGACGAATGCCTGATGCATGCCTCAGGGATTGATCATCACTGAAAACTTTATCCTTTTTGTCTTTTATTTTTACTAAAGAAAAGCCCACTTCATCTGAAACTTTTCATTTTCCAACACAAAATACCGTATTTGCGAGAAGAGCAGATTTTCAACCCTTATTGTGTATTTCAATCATCTCTCTTCTAAGTATATATCTTTAAAATATTTCGTATACAATGCAGGGCTTCTGCAAAGTTCATTATAAAGGTGTTTTTAGTGCTTAGCGCTTGTGAACGTGGAAAGAGCACGCGCTGATTATTGTGCAAAATACTTCACTGTAGAAAATCTATATTTTTGACGCATACTCCCATAACATCTTACTGACGGTGTAAATAGCTTGCTTAACATATTCATTCAACAAGTAACAACTTGCACAGTTGGCATCGCTAAACAACAACCCTAAACATCATTACTTGCAACAATTTACTCTTTTTGCATAGAATTTGTACTTTTCTCATATAACAGAATTATTTTCATCCTTTTGGCAATAGACTTTTCTTTCCTAGCAATGTTCCGCCCGCTTTAGAAATTTGTCTGTCCTACGACCAACTCTCTATCATCCATCGTGGGTAGCTCGTAGAGCTGAAGTGGCTCTCAAACTTGAGCATTACATCGCCTTGAACATCTTCACATCGCTTGCCAAAGAATAAAGTTCTGAACGGCACACTTTTTCATCGTCTGAGACACTATTGCCAAAGCCCCTGCCTGTAACGAGTGCATTGTTTTACATGGGTGTTATCGGCTTCGTCACTAATCTACCAACATCATCGCTGTTTCCCAATATGCACTCGAGCCGAAATACCCAGTAACATTTGTAGCATGACAAAATCTTTTGCTCAGTATATTTATTTTGACATGCTTCTCCCACAGCTTCTACGAGTCAAAGCTTTATAATAATTTGCAGAGATCTGACCCTTTCATAATACTTCTTGGTGTAAGTAGAGGAAGATATCCGTCGGAAGCAAGATGACCAGGAAATCTCTGATGCATCGGTATATTCCAGTATCACCTATAAATGGTGACGGCGAAGCCATTTCAAGTGGTAGGAATCGGACAGGGTAGACGAATATGTCCTTACGGTACTGAACCAATATATATATATATGTATGTTTATGCGTATATATGTATATATACGTATATATATGTGTATATATAAGTATATATAGAGCGCCTAAATCAATGCGCACGTCCAATGGTAAAGGTCGTCACGATGAGCGATGCTTATAGTACATAATAATTGCATAATAATTAATTAATACTCATAAGACAACGCAAAGTCCTTTCTATAATTCTAGTAAGATCTTAAGTCTAGAATATCGGAGTGATACAGGTGATCGATGAATCGGTATTGCATGTGGTGGGCAGCATCCTTGTCAACAAACTATTATTTTTTTCCCAATTTTCATTCACTACAGTGATTGTTGTATAAGATAAGAGACCATCATAACAGAAAGATTTACGTATATATATATATATATATATATTATATATATATATTATATATATATATATATATATATGAGAACTGATCATCGCAATTCAATGAATACTAAGAGTCGTAGAATTGCATAGTGGAGAAGCGCTTTATCTTCACACGTAAAAGTTGTATAAGCACTAAAAGCATTTAAGGATGTAGAGGAAATACGAGGCAATAAGAGAGCAAGTGAAACCTGAAATTTTCTCCAAAACGAAGGAAAATATCCTAACTAAATAACGAAAATCGTATGCCGCTTATAGCGCTGCGCGCCGTAATTTCTCCAGCTTTCCTTAAAGGGTTGACTGCAGTTGTGTGTAGGTTATTACACTGAAATATCATCTCAAAGTTTTTAATCATAGCTCTGTTCTAAACTCTCCTCACATCGGAAATTAGACAGTAAATAACCATCTAGTCCTTTTTGAAATAAATCATTATCTTATAACAGCCGTTGGATGCTGTTGTCATTTGAAGAGGACACAATGACGTCAAAGTGAACAGCAAAGTAATATCTGCTCGCGTAAAGCTCCTAGCGATTCATTGTTTCACTATGGATGGTGAAGGTGCCTGGATGGCCAAATGAGATATAAATTGAGAAATCATTTGGTAGTATATGGTTCCAAGCTAGCAAGGAAGTTTGAGATATCCATTCAGTTTGGAGTACATCTATGCCTCAGGACAATTTGATGAGCTTCCTACCACTTCTATCAATGAAATAATAAGATAAAACGCTTAATACTGTAATGCTTTCCGTATACTTTGAATATCAAAGAGCACTGAAGCTGGAAAATTTTCAAGAGAATAGTGATAAAAATCTCTATTTAACCGTTTTTTTTGCGGTGCTATGATGTTGCAAATATACCCAGTGAAGCAGACTGATGTGCAAAACTTTTGCGTCAGGCGAGACTCGAACCCACAACTCACTCTATCCGGGCGCGCGTGCTCTAATCCGTTGCACTACTGACGCTCCTTTTGCCAACCACCCTTTTTAAACTATAACGCATTATGATCAGTCGATATTCAATATCTGTCAGTGTGACTGGGTTGGACGTCGATACTGACTACGCGTGTCACACCGTTGACGGTTGGCGGTTGATAGATAGATGCGATGTGGCGTAGAAAAAGTGGTGGGCAAAGTGGGCGTCAGTAGTGCAACGGATTAGAGCACGCGCTCCCGGATAAAGTGAGATGTGATTTTAAGTCCCGTCTGACGCGAAAGTTTTGCAAATCACTCTGCCTCACAGATAATTACGATATTTAGTCACTCCGAAAGTAGTAAACTTGAGGAAAAAAATCCTTTCAAAAAACTTCTTTCATAGTGCCGTTATCTGCATTCTAATGGTGGTTGTGGAAGGGGTAGCGTAGTGATTAGAGATGCTGCCTATCAGGGCGTAAGGTGATCAGCACCCATCGAATCACGCAATACTCTCTTGTAATCAGTCAGCTGGGAACACCTTAGCTTGACTATCTCCGAGATTGTAAGGAGAATTGTAACAACCAGCATTCTATTGAACAGCATCCATGAAGAAAAAAAAAACCACAAGCGACAGCTGAGGCAGCACATAAATTATTCAAAGACTATAGTGGATTATGAAGCGAGGGAACGAAACGAGTGCAGGAACTGTTGAGTTTGCTACTATAAAGCGTGCTGGCGAGTCGTATAAAAATAAAAGAAGTGAATTATGCAAATTGTTGACGAACACTACCCAAGGCGGCAGAAATCGTAAAAAACGATCTTACTAAACGAAGCCTACCGACATCCTTTGGACAATCTTATTGCATGATTATGGAGACATCGTGGCCGGGTGGTTGTGATGCTCTTCACTATGCGCATGTGGCCGAACCCTGCCCTCCAGCACCTTCCGGCACTCAACAGTGGGCAGACTATGGGTCGACAGCCAGGCTATCTTCGAGATTGCAAGAGGACACGCTCATCCAGTGTCATACGACGTATAAGAAGAAAAAAACAAAACGATTTGGATGCTACATCTACTGGGATTGGCACAGTGAACAAACACTGTGAAGACAAACCAATAAACTGCCTAAAAAGTATCTGTGAAATGATTACAGGAAAACTATTATAAGTCAGTTGTAAAGTAATCAATATGGTCTGCCATACAAGTGTGGAATATCAGCCCTTTTGAACCCTCCAAGACTCGTCCTTTATCTAGTCGGCCATCTGCTGAACGATTCCATAACTTATTGATAATGAGTCGGAGTCTTTCATGTCAAAATCTTTATGCTTCATACTACATTCAGAATCAAAGTGATTTCTAATCTTTATTATAGATAGGCAAACAAACATTTTTAGTAATGCTGAATGATGTCACCTAATTCAGCTGTTTTTCTTGTTTTCCCTTCGTTATACTCTAATATTATACTTCGGCGCTAGAACGCATTTTTTTTTAAGAGGAGTTTTTATTACTTTCATCGTTTTATTCACTCACTGGCCTGTTATATTTATTGGACTCTTTTCGGTTATCCAAAAACAAATGAATACGACCTCTATCTCTAGACAATAGATTTTCATAAAAGTGTAGTAATCATTCGAAAACTTAATCTCTGACTAGAGCGCTGTGTGGTCGTTTTTGAAAAACGCCCTTTGATAACCCTCTAGTATTTAAATAAAATTATGTTTTACACCGGCCTCACACTTTTACTAATACTTCATTGAAAGCACGAAAAATATATGAACGTGTAGAGGGAATCTATTAGTGTTAGAGTGATGCGTTTCATTCGAAGTTTCTTTCGAAGAAGGAAATCAATTCCTATTTGAATGACGAAAATCGCACTATACATGTGAGTTGCTTAAGCGCTATCGATCGATCGTCGTGTTGAAACCACGAGCAACCAAGCCCCCTGCCCCCTTCCTCCCGACCCTTTGATTAGACGAAAAATAAATGCCCGCGTATGTCAATCAATTTTATTTTCTCCGCTACACTGTAGTGGAACCTTCTTTCCACAAATGAAGCACAGCGTTGTAATCACGAAACTTATGCTACAAAATGGTTACTAATAGTCTAAATGAAAAGCTCTACTATAGAAAAGCGCGTGCATGAAACACAAATTTCTTTGTTCTTGCCGAGGTGTTATGAAAAAAGACTTCTTCAAAAACGGCCATGTAGAACACTAACCAGAGATTTAAGCTTTCAAGTGAATACTAAAAGTGCAGTAGAAAGTCTTTGTCCAGAGAGAGGAATTGTTTCTTTATTTGCTACCGGATAACCGAAAAGAACCTTCATTAGTTGTGTTTCTAAATAATCTTGAGATGAATGGCTGGAAGTCTATGACGTCATCAAGAGATGTGACATTTAACCCTGCTCTCTTCAAAGTAATTTTTTGCAAACGCATTTTCATATTGTGTCTTCTAAAAGCTCTTGTCCGGATTATTCTCCTAACCCCACAACTATAAAGATTGTCTTGAACGATGACGAATAGAGATGTACAGATAGAAACGATTCCTCTGATATGCCGCTAGGGTCGAGTGAAATGTTGTTGAAATTAATCGAATAAAACAAAAACAATTAGATTAGGATTTGATGCTCAGCAATTTTTGAGAATGATGACTTTCAGTAGAAACATGGATTTCGTCGCTAGATATCGCTTTAGATCTATTCGTACAAATGTGCTTACTCAAACGTTGTCGACATGGAATCGGCTGAATATGAAGCACGGTAAGTTCATGTGAAAATTTTTCTTGTTTCTGCAGTATGACTCAGATGTGCTTGATAACAATATCATGGTTTGAATTGTTTTCCTATTAATTCAGATCGCTGACGACGGCCGAAAAAACTTTCCCATATATTGTTCTACGTCACATTTTATTTCTCATGATTCTTCTATACAACGCCACATTAGGTCATCTTTTTCCCAAATTCGCCTTTACTTTTTATTTATTCTATTCAACGCGTTCATCACTCTCGGATGAAATAATAACAGACGAGGGAAACCAGTTAAAATCGTTGTTAAGTGCTGTTTGTTCTATCAGAAACAAAACAATGCCTAGTTTAGATTTTCTATTGCTTTGCCCTTTTGTTTTGTGCAAATCTTAGTTAATGGCAGTCCAGTATCGCGTAATTAAGAGAAATATTGATTTGTGTCACCATTTTTGTAAATCTTTCCACTAGCAACTATACAGGATGTTTTTTTCCCAGATAATGTATGCAAAAAAATATAAAATTCTTGGCGCTGGTCAATCCCTGAGGGAAGCGCCATGTATTCGTCTTCAATTCTGAGCTTAATTTGAGGTGACTGGATGCATACCTGGCCTTTATAATGACTTTCGGTAGCTTATCAATGTGTTAAGCCTGTGCTGCTATCTTTCCAAGCAAGTTTGGTACTAATTCATAGACCTCAGAGGGATGGAAAATTTGGTGAGCTTTGAGCGTGGGATAGAACCTTCGACCATCGCTTGATCAATCATGCGTGTCTCAGAGTACATCTAACCACTGCGCGACATGCGCTCTTATAATCTATGTACGGAGTCGAAATGGTGTGAACGGTGATAGGTAATATTCATATTGACGAGAGTAACAAATGTAAGAATAATAATGACATTGATCTGTTACAAAGCGATCAACGAAGTAGTCAACATCTTCCTCAAGTTACTGACACAAAGAATTGAAATCTTATGTTCCACAGCACAAAAGTGTTCGACGTTGATCATTTTCTTGGGGGTACGTCATGCATTTGACTCGTCAAGCGTCGTCAAAGATAATTGAACGCATACATGGCCTACGGCGAGGCCTACGGCGGCGCGCCATACCACTTGTCAGGCCGCTACTTTGATCATCCAGATATAATTGGTACCTGCTTGCCAACTCTCAAAAGCAGAGGATTTCGTTAGTCACGCGGGATCGAACCAATAACCGTGTGTAACTTGGAACACCAGTGACCACTGTCTGTTGCATCACATGCTCCCCGTCATTCCGGTTCGATACATGTTAGAATTGGAACAGTGGTGCTGTTTGGAATCCTGAAATTGTTTTGTTCTAATAATTCTTCCTCCATCATTACCAATGCGAAATTGTTTTCCATCTTCTCTTTGCCACCACATTGCTCATATATTTCAAGCATTCGTCTCATTTACTTTGACTGAGATATACCCGATTGACCTTGTCGCCCACCCTTGTTATCTTCTCTTCGTCACTCATGATACATATTCGAATAGATCCATTGCGATTGTCAGATAATACCGTCGTCAGTAATCCGACCAGTCATCGTTCAATTTCAACTTCGCTCTGCACCGGTTACATTTCTCATTACATGAACAGCTAAATTCCAGTCATTTTCATTCTTAAAATTTTTTAAGACAAAAAATGCTGCTCCCAGAATATTTAGGCAACCGAAAAGAAAGCGAACTCTGCAGAGTATACCCTTCGTTTGATTGAATCTCAACTGTATAGTGTCACTGTAATTTCAAACACTTAGGGAAAAAAACATTGATGACTTTTTTTCGGTTATTCTATTCAATAGAATGACAATGCCGCTACTCCTAGATCTATAATGAAAACAAATGAGGATTATATCTACGAAAAGGTTTTTGTTGAAGCAAATTATGTGAAATTACGACCTGGAGATAAGTTGATTTATCATGAACCAACGACTTTTTCAAATTTCCTTTTAGAGGAGATCTATCGACTCGAGATCAATGATTGTTTCGATATTTTTGTCTAACTCTAATAACTGATTTAATTTGTTGACAAAACAAGTTAAAAATTATTATCCATGATGATTATTTATCATCGAAGAGATCAGTCTACGGTGACTAGAAGGGGTTAAGCTACTGACCGTTGCTGATGGCCTCTCCTATAGCATTCGGTCGGCCTCCCGAGACCAGCTGTGTACCCAAGGAAAATGCCAAGCACAGATCGATAAACCGTTCATAGCATCCAGGAACATTCATTGCTCTCCTCCGATCTTACTCTATTATGTCCAAGTACGATCTAGTCTTCAATCGATATGGATCACTTTCCATGACTCTGTAAATCGATATGATTCATGTGTATATACATTTGTTACGTGTATGACAATAATTTGGATGATTTTGATGGATCTCACGCCTAATTTAACCTGATTATCTGAACCGGTTTCATTACGGTAGAACTTCGAAAGTTTGGCTTGATAGGGTGTCGTTTAATGTAGTTCTCAAAACTTAAACTGGTTATTGTTTCATTCATTCTTAAATCATTTCTTCACTTTCGCCATTTTTTTCTCATGGTGTTCACACTACGTTCGTTAGTGCGATGACGAATCATCATTGACCAGTTTCCATACTGTTAGATTCTCTCAATACTGATGTCTTTTTTACATTAAGTTTCGAATATGCATATTGAAGCTGATTGTGAATCAACCGAGAATGAAGTCAGAGCAAGGATCTCTGTGGTGTAGTGGTAGCACACGCCCCAATATAGGATGAAGCACGGGTTCAACTGCCGCCTGAGATTGAGAGTTTTGTAGAGCACTTCACAGCCTTTAATATATAGTTATAACATCATAACTGTGCTTCCAAAGCGGCAAAATTAATAATTCCTGTAAGATTTATATATCCGGTGGCTGTTAGCTTGATTGAGTTTAGTGCCGAGACGTGTCTATCATACCAAACCGTCGATAGTTGATTGCGGAGAGCTGCAAGTCTCATGTCGATGAGGTAACAGAGTGGACATTTCGATGGTGTAGTGGTAACGCGCTTTTTTGATATAGGTGGATTACGTGTTCAATTCCCACGCCGGGTTTGAAATTTTGTAAATCATCCAGAATTCTTGGAAATCGCAATACATAAAGTCTAAACATCTTTGCAAATGGAACGCTGATTTACTTGCTCCCCTACGCTTAGGCTTATGAACTTTTCTGAGAATATTTTCAGCAGCTGTTCAATTATTTAAAATTCTCTGTGAGCAAGGAGTTGCTGAGGTGATTGAAGAATTTTGAGCGCGAGATTTGATGAGTCTGACTGCTCAAGGCAAGTTTTTTCTATGTCAGTTCTTTTAGTTGAATGGACGTGTAGAAGGATATTGTCATGCATAGAATTCGTTTCTTTGAATCGACTAATGCCGTTTAATGGCATTCCTTCCCTAGAGTACTTGTGGATTTCAATTCCCATGCTGATATGATTTCTGACCCGTTCGTAAGAGACTAATGCTGAGTGGTTCTACTTGCTGATTTGAAAAAGCTATCGTAGCCTTTGATGTACATTTGGCATTGAAAAGTACTTGGATATGTGCCATCTTGTCTAGTCTTGAATTCAGCTTTGTCGTTTCCCTTATAGATGGAACACATTTGGTCTTTCTCATATCCATTCAGTTGAAAAAGGGAGTTTTGTAGTGGACAAGAAACACTGAACTGACTTAACAACGGCGATATGCTTGCGTTTTGCTAAATTTATGAGGGACCATTCGTTTTCCGTGTTTTTCTTCTTTTTTCACTTTGCAGCTTGTATGAGTGTACCAAGACTGTATCTCTTTATTAGTAACTGCTTCAAAATTACTAGTAATTATCATTTAATTATTAATATTCACCAAAATTGATACTTCAAGATGTCCCAAGAGCGTTCCTATTCTTTACGCCTACTTATCTCATAAGATTCTTCAGCGTTGTACGTAAAGTTACTTCATTAACGTCTTCCTATTGTTATGGTTATGATCGCAGCAGTTATTCTCCAACTCTTCTTTTTTGGCGCATATATATATATATATATATATACATATATATATATATATACTTGTATATACATAAACACATATATATACGTATATTTGTACTAAATATATTAATAGCTCTAAATTTTTGTTATCAACCTCGCACTGCGGGTTTAATCAACAAAGAAAATATAGAATAATTCTATAAAGTAAATTCGTGACCAGATATGTTGAATTTATCTTGTGTTAGCATTGCTGTAGACTAGAAAAAGCTACATAAAATATCTGTTATATATTGATCGAAAAGAAGGCCATATTCCGTACGGTGAGAATGTACGATATGAATCTCAGTACTACGTAGGAGATGTGTTGGCAATGCGGTATAGAGCTTCTGTGAACTCCGCGTCCTTTGGAAACCGACTCTACTTGCGGTTCTCCGTTCTTAAACGAATTTCCGAAGATTTTTATTCTGCAGATTAGTGATCTTTTAGTCCATCAAGGTGAAAATACTTGGAATGTTTTGCGCTCAAATACTATGATGTAATTTGTAACACTACAAAAATGCGTTACTATCTTGACTTCTATACTGTTTAACGAGTTTTATATTAGAGTTTATCTGTTCTAAGGTGAATCTTTTGGGCGGGGTACAGCGTTCGAGCACAACGTCATGTGGGCCGACGCTTGTGATAACACTTATCTCTATCATTCTATCACCTTAAGCAACTTTCGTGCGTTCTCCCTAAGGTGAGTGAAACGTTATGATCGCTTCAGTTCAGCTGATTATTGTTGAAGTGATTATAATTTGTTATTTACTACTTGATTCTCATATAAATTCTGACAATTTTCCATTATCAACTTCAATTATCGATGTCTCATCTCTAGGTAGATTTTTTTAAAGTTCGAATAAGAACTATGGAAACTTATTATTTTTTCAACAAAGTAGTATTCTGAACCTTTCTATTTGACTGTTTTTTGGGAGCTCACTTAAATTTCATTACAATCTGATAGCATATCCTAGGCCTTTAAGAGGTCTGATATGGCACTTCGAGTGCTAAACGTACGTTTCGGGTTTCTGTCAATCCTTAAAGATATGCTATCAGATCATACTGGATTTCAAACAAGGTCTCGAAAAATAGTCGAATAGGGAGGAACTGCATATCTGTTTTACCAGCGAGCGAGCAATCGAATGTCACTCCAATGTCAGGTGATTTTTCACCGGACGTGCAGTGTAAGATGTTCGGCGCCGGTTTCCTTACATGTAGGGGCTCGGTTGAATCGAAAGCTTTTTGCTACCGATGAAGTTTGACATGAAAGCCGAAACGTACAAACCTTATGGGAGGTTTAAGATCTGCTGTCAAATTATAGTATAGTATTTCATTCCAGTATTTTTCTTGTTACTTAGATCCAAAGTCGTTAATAATGGTGTTTATTGCGTGCAGTGGTAATACAATACGATAAAATAGTATGGCTGACGTTTAGGCGAGCTTCGCCTTCCTCAGAACCTACAAAGGTTGAATTGTTCTGCAATTTACTCAGTCAGATAATCTCATAACCCCAGCGGAAAGACATATAAAAAAATTTTTTTGATCGCACAGTAAAAGTATTCTTCCCATTCTTTCGCAATGAAATTGTAGTTCCTAAGGCTGTTTTCTCTAAAGGCAATTTGGTAGCCGTACGGTGAGTTGGGGTTTTTTAGAAGGTAGTTGTCGAAATCGTTGAAGGAGTGGTAATTGATCCGATCGTGTTGTATGAGATGAAGGGTCATATCTTAACTCTTATATTTACAGTGTTGATAATTGAGCAACGTTTGGTAGAGCATTATCGTGAGAGTAAATTCATCTGTCTCCTCTCACTACCTAGTGCGGACGTCACAAATTTATAGTGTATTTGTTGACTTTCAGTAAAACTTACCCTCATATTGAGGGTGAAAAAACGACAAGAAAGCCATCAAGAGGTAGACGATTAGAAGACGCGTGCTGATGATCTTTTGATTTCGAGGATGCCGACAGTTATTCCAAACAAGATAGAATTATCCACTGGACAAGAGTGCGGGATAGCGCAGTGGTTAGTGATGTGATGCATCAGGAAGCAAGATGAAGTGATGGTCGATTCCTCCCAACACTCTCTTGTCTTCAACTAGCTCTCGAAGCAACACATGAAATATTTGAAGACCTTTGTGTAGGATAAATGCGAGGAACAGAATCAAATGCGCGATGTTCTGAAATCTGCTTGAGATGACGACTTGTGTAAAGGATAAGAAATGATAAAGCTTTCGGTGTTGACCAATCCATGAGAGATGAGTCATGCCTTCGACATCTTCAAACATCGTTTACGATGATCGCTTGATAATTAGGCCTTTACAGTGACTCGCAGTGGGCTATCGATCCATCAGGTCGGTCTTGTTATCCTCTCAGACAAGTCCGGTACCAATAGACCGAGCTCATGACTTTTTTTCGTATTCGAATGAGGCTTTATCTTTCTCTCCAACCTTTTCGTCAAGCGTCTTCGGTTTTCGTACAATTCTCCTTTCAGTCGCACATTACAAAGCTATGAAGAGAAAGAGGTCGCTGTTGATGATTTCGACATGCTATCGAACCATTATGCGTCCATCTGCTTCATTCAACGTCCTCAATATGGTCATCGTCGTTAGCAACGGGTCGCATATGATTCACATCTTCACATTCGGCTCTCTCATTCCAACCATCAGTAACTGCCGATGGTTCCCTAATCAAGTTTAATGTTGAATTTGTCTAGGCTCCGTCACTTTTGCATAATAACTCAAAGGTTTCAAGAACTTTACTCGAATTTGTTTTTTTAGTACATTTTCAACTACCTGAGTTCAAAATAAATCGAAATTGGAGTGTAAAAGAATTGTCATGAAATGGTCCATCTCATCGACTGTTTTTAATCCCTCTGCAAACATTTAATATGATCTGAAAAAATGTTCAAAACCTTACCACGGTTGTTACGTCAGAGCCATACTCGTTTCGGAGGTATCGCCTTTTTCATCAGTGGCCTACGCCCCTTACAGAATTCCTACTCTGTTGCAGGGATGAGGAGTCGTATGTGGTGATAGCGCATGATATTGTGTTATCACCACATTTTTTCACAGCCTATTGAGAAATAAAAAAGTGCTGATAACACAATATCATGTGCTATCTCCACATACGTCTTCCCATCCTTGCTATAAAGTGAGAGTTCAGTGAAGGGCATGGACCACTGATGAAGAGGGCAATACCTTCGAAACGCGTATGGCTCTGACGTCACAACCTGGGTAGGGTTTCAAGCATTCTTACAGATCATATTATGAAATTATAGAGATAAACTGCCTCTTGAAATGGTGTATACCATAAGCATAGAGGCTTAGAATGCTACTATGTAATAGAGCGTTAAGCTTCAGAAGATGGACATAACTTATACCATAAACGAATGTAAAGGGGGTGTGTAAGGCAGTGGTAGTGATGCCGATCATCATGAGCACAGTGTTGATTTGTCTTCACGCCGGACTCATTCGTCTACGGTCGAAAAATTGATGCCAGACCTATTTGGGTAAGGTTACTTGCTCCAATCAAAAAGAGAAGGCTTTAGTCCGGCTATCTCAGAACCTTAGGAACAACCAACTTGAGCAGCATTCAGTGACATAAAGAAGTGGGTAATCTCTAAGCAGCAGCCGAACTCACAAGCAAAATGTTGGGAAGCCGTTGATAGTAGGTGGATGCGGAAAAGTGAATCGGATGAGGGAAAGTGTTGATTTTCGCACAGTAGATATGAAAGACGAATTATGAAAAAAATGAAAATAGAGTAGTTGA